ACCCATCCATCCATCCCCCCTCACACACACCAGACCACACCACACCACACCCATCCATCCCCCCTCACACACACCAGACCACACCACACCCATCCATCCCCACACCACACCACACCACACCACATCTATCCCACACCAGACCACACCACACCCATCCCTCCCCCCCTCACACACACCAGACCACACCCATCCATTCCCCCCCACACACACACACCACACCACACCCATCCATCCCCCACACACCATCTTTGTGTGTCATTGTTTTTTCACTGCATTTCTGTCTGCAGGATCCCACCCGGAGTGTGGGAATTGCAGACTGCACTCTATCAACGGAGTACATGCCTAGCCCTAGATTTTCATTTGAGACAGTGTCTCCCTTTGTAGAACAGGCTATCCTTAACTCTATATCTTTCTGCCTCAGTCCCCCTATACACTGGGGTTACAGGCATGCACTGCCACGCCCATTTGAGGGTACAATTCCTGGTAAATAACAAAGGCAACCTTATATACGAAAGAATTCTCCATTTATGGCTGTTTACTTAAGCTGGGGCTGAAGGTGAGGAAGGGAATGAACGCCACAGCTTCGGATACCAATGAAGAAACGTGTTCCAAAAGATTCCTACAAACTTGCAAACCTACCAGTTGGAAACATCAGTACTGCACTTTCAATACTATAAAGTCTGAAACTCCTATCCAGGCACAGTGGCCCACACCTTTAATCCCAGCACTTGGGAGGCAGAGGCAGGTGCATCTTTTTGTGAGTTTAAGGCCAGCCTGGTCTTTAGAGCGAGACCCTATTCCCCCACACACACCCCAGTTTTTTTTTTTTAAACCTCATTATCTGTTAAGGAATTACATACTGCATTTTATTTTGTTTTTTCGTGATCAGTGATGAACTCAAATACTTTATTTACTTTGCTGTTTTGAGACAAGGTCTCATGTAGCCCAGGGCAGCGCTGAACCCTAGTGTGGCTGAGGTTGTCACTGAGCTTCCGATCCTACCTCCTGAGTGCCGGCATGCTCTACTGTGCCTAGTTGATGAGGTGCTGGGGACCTCACCCAGGTCTTCATGTAGCCGAGGTAAGTACTGCACCAAATGAGTGATATCCCAGCCAAGAGCAAACGCCTTCCTGAAACTTTTTAGTGACCTGAATTTTCACTTGGTGATTATCCATTCATCAAATAGTCTCTTCTTGTACCTCCTTATCCATTCTCTTGTCTTATAGAAAATATTCTTCTTTTATAATTTTATAGGGGAAAGTAAGCATGTAATATAGTTCTAGTTTAAAACGATCACTAAGATATGGATTTATAGATTCACGTGCACATGAGAGCTAATTTTTCACATTTAGAATCAGACGTGCAAATGCTGGACTTCATCACAGTGGAACATCTGAATAAATCTCATCCCTGTACCTCCTGGCCTCAGTTTCCTTATGTATGGATGAAAATGCCGGGCTAAAAGATGCACTCTGGTACACTGTACCTCCAGAACCCCTGTCTTAATATTTATAATTTGAATTACAGGTTCCCTCCATCCAACAACCTGTCTCTGCCTTAGTAAAGGTCACACAGCTCCAGAAATCCCAGAAGCTGACACCTAGCTAGCCTTTCTGTCTCTTCTTGTCGCTGTCTGTACATTCAGACACAAAAAGCTAGTCTTCCTTTGTGCTACACTATAACTTCTCCTCTCCTGCGCCCTTCACCAGGTTACTCCACGCTCACACTCAAGAGAAACCTGGTCACTTCCCCAGAGCTATCCTACGGTCATGCGGGACCTTGCCTTGCATCAGCGCTGAGCCTGTCACCTGTCTGCCCTGAGCACGGGGTACAGACCGGCAGTGTCCAGCTGACACCCCACACTGTGACTGCCCATCTGTTTTCACAAGGGTGGAGACTGCCTTCCTTAATCTGTCTGATTATTACAAGTGTCAGAAACACACCTAGATAAATGGAGACTCAAGGGAGGAATCACAGAATCTGTCGGTAATCACTGGATAAAACGGTAACTATTGTTTCAATATTTTGATGTGACTAAACATGCGCCATCAGTTAATAGGGCCAAAAATGTCCGCATTATATACATGCTATGTGAATGGTACACTTGGATTACTGTAAATGGGAACTGATTTTGCTCTCATATCGCTTCACTGGCTACAGCAAGTGTCTCTTCAAACCTTTAACGGTGGAGACAACATGGCTGCTCTGTGCCAGGCACTATCCTAACACACATTTACTCAGTCCTCACAGCAACCCCAGAAGGTAGCTTTATTTTTATCTTTCTCTGATACAAGGGGAAACTGGAGTGACAGGAAATTAAAATCATTTACTCAAGTCACAGTTGGCAAGGCGTGGAATTAGGGCTGGAATCACACGGTCTGGCTCTCACAGCCACATGCTCGCACATGAATGGACTTTCTGACATGTAGAACCTGCACAGTCTAGAAAAGCGTACACCACTTACACAGCTAAGGAAGGGAGTCGATGGCTGTGTGGAGACCTATGTGCTAAGCTGGGAGACAGACTGCTGAGCGATTAGCACAGGCTTACGGTTCTTCTACGCTATAGACCTAGAAAGGACACTCTAAGCTCCCAATGCAAAGTCCACTGGACACCAGCGGCACAGTGTTATTTGAAGCCCAGGGTGCCTCACCTATAGACAACATCCCTCTAAGAAGGATCATGTGGAGGCGAAGAGTGGTTGGAATCACCAAACCAACTGCTAAACAAATGTTTGCTACATGAAACACCAGATGATGGACCTCTCTCCAGTTCTCACAAGTGGTCTCATTGGAAGGCACAGGTGTGACGCTTCCCAACTCAGAGTTAAAACCTGCTAGAGTTGATTCTGCCAATGGGCTGGACTCTGTGTAATTCATGTTGAAAAGTCCTATAAAGACAAATACACAATCAGTCATAAATGGAAAGTTCATCTTATCATACCTATGACAGGTAATATGCCAAAATTATTTTTACAAATTACATGCTAGTCAACAGTTTTCCAATACTTATCAGGTACACAGGTTCAAACTCCAGCCCTGTCACAAAGAATGTCCTTTTCTGTACCTCTCATAATGAACCCCGTTTGCCTTATGTTGAAATGAAACGTCTCAGAGAGTTCAGTGTGTTTAGAAATGAATACACACATACTTGAAGAGGGTGAGAATCAGCAAGCATGAGAGACCAACACCTACATTCATAGGTCACAGCGTTTACACTGGGCTAGGACAATCTTCAAACCATTCACACTGGAGACGGAATCCAAGCACAGGAAAAAACTGCAAAAAAAACCAGAAACAACAACCAAAAAACCCTGGTTCTCTAAACCTTTTAAAAATGAACAGCCTTATATTTATCACTTAAAAGCTGTTGAATCATTGCCACACACCTATCATGGTATGTGCACATAGTACATAACCATATACTCTACTAGCAGATACACACATATAAAGAACTTAAATAGCATTCAAAGTTTCCTTTATTCTCCAACTTAAGTCTCTATTTTCATTCCTCAAATAATTCTAGTTGATAGCATCTCACAAATTAGAAAGTAGTAAAGGTTCATGAATATATTTGGGTACTTAATATTAAGCACCACAGCAAATACATTTCAAGTAATATACATTTTACGCACATTTATATTTCACATAATATAAATTTTACATACTCTTATATAAAACAATACAAAGTATCACTCTGTTCTGTCCATTATTATCTATTCTTGGTCCCTGCTCCACACATACACACACACACACACACACACACACACACACCACCCTTCATTATTAATTACACAAATTTGGTCCTTGGCAAAAGCTATGTAGGTTTACAGAAGACATGAATTAATCTATTTCATTTTTAAAGTTAAATGAAGACCAAAAATATCTTTAAGTTTAATTTAGAAATATATACATCTTTCAAAATAGAAAAATTCACATTTTTAACATAGTAAAGATTTTAAGTGGTATAATAATAGATGTGGTTTGGACATCTTGAAAGGATGCTAGACAAGTAAGGATACGAGGATCAATTCTGTATATCTTAAGATGACAAATTTATAAATATGAATGAAGTAAGTAAGTGGAAGTTTACTTTTGTGACATTTGCTCTAAACATGATGACAAGGGAGTTACATACCCACTCCAAACAGTTCACAAATAATAAGTTGACTTAAACATTGATTTTCTGCAAAAAAAAAAAAAAAAATGAGAATTCAACTACTTTCCAAAAGTCTTAATAAAAATCTCAGCTTATTCCGATGGGGGACTAGTTCCAAGAACCTGGAAGTGTGCGTGTCGGCCGGTCCGGCCTCCTGCTTGCTATAGCCACACAATGCCTGTGGGAGGCAGGGGTGGTACATATGGATCTATACCCTTTTCCAAGGCCTCCATCGATACTGTCACTGAGGAAGACCTGAATGGGATGAGACTGAAACACAACACGGACAAAAAACCGTTCACTCATACTTTCCTGAGGCTGAGTCAGGGTCGGTCCCACAAGCCACCAGGGAGCCACCTAAGCCAGAGAACGGTGCCTCCCTCCTCAACCTGTTTTCCCTTGGAACTACATGGTCTTAGTTCACTTTCAGGTTCTTGGAAGTTCTAAAAGTGGCGTTAGTTTAAATTTCTGTCCAAAGTAAATTGATGAGGAAACTATAATCTGCCTCAAAGCCAGACAATATTAAAATGTATTGCATGTGTTTATTATTTCTGGGGGAGGGGGCGCACAAGCCAAAGGACAGCTTGCTGGAGAATCTCCCCTTCCACCACGTGGGTCCTGAGGAGACAAGGCATGCGGTCAGGCTTGCCTGCTAGTGCCTTACCAGCTGGCCGAGTTTCCTCACCGGCCCTAACAGCCAGGTTCAAACGTAGGATTACTGTAAAACATATTTTGATGCACTACACTATTTTAAAGCTATACAAATTATAGACGCAGCTGCAGGTATATAAATACACATATAAAAGAGTCTTCTTATGAAATACACCCATAAAAGTGCTTACTGTCTTTAAAAATCAGTTTTTTATGTTCAATGATTAATCTAACGGGCTTGGGCTCAATCACTACTTAATGGGTTTAAATGGCCTACACTGGTCTGCCCTTACACAGGGAATGAATGAAGAAGGCCAGATTGGTGAGCGAATCTGTGAACTGTCAGATTCATTTTCATTGAATCAAAACATCATCTTTCTCATCAGATCCCTAGAGTCTAGTTCCTTACTTACTGTAGTAAAATCGTGCCCATCTATTGGTTTTCACATAGGCGTCTGCGGTTCTAAAATGCTGAATGAGGAAGCTAACTTTAAACCCTGACCAAATCACAAAAATGACGACGAACAGCAGTGAGTAAAGAGCCGTGCAAACAGACGTATTCACGGTGACTGTCACGGAGTCTCTGCGCACCTCGGGCGGCCAGCGGCGTGGCGTGGCCGGGTCTTCCCTTCGGGTTTACGAGCTCAGTCCGGCTTGGGAACGAGGGCGCGCGCGGGCCGGTGGCGAGGCCATCTGCACCCCACCCGGGGACCCGCTCACCTCGCTTTTGGAAGAGTGTCAGCGTCCCCAGCTCCGCGCCCCTGCGCTGTCCCGCCGAGGGCCCCCGGGC